GGCTGGGCGCAGTGGCTTATGCCTGTAATTCCAGCACTTTGGGAGACTAAGGTGGGAGGATCACTTGAGCCCAGGAATTCGAGACCAGCCTGGGCAACATAACGAGAACCCCATCTCTACAAAAAACAAAAAATTAGCTGAGTGTGGTGGCACGTGCCTGTAGTGCTAGCTATTTGGGAGGCTGAGGCAGGAGGATTGCTCCAGTCCCAGAGGTTGAGGCTACAGTGAGCTGTCATCATGCCACTGCACTCCAGCCTGGGTGACAGAGCAAGACTCTATGGAAAGAAAGAAAAGAAAGAAAAGAAAGGAAGGAAGGAAAAAAGAAAAGAAAGAAAAGAAACAAAGAAGAAACAAAGAAGAAACAAAGAAAGAAAGGAAGAAAGATCTCTTTGTAGACGAAGTGGCTGATGAGGTGGCTCTCTTCAATTAGGGAACACATCCCTACTTTGAAAGGTCTTTTTTCAGGCCCGAAGCAATTAATATTATTGGGCACCAAAAGAAGAAACGTTCGTTTTTTGGGTTGTTCTAGATCCACCTGCAAACTGCTTCTTGGGCAGGGGTTAGCAGAGGTGGGAACCCATATATATAAAACATTACTTGGGTATCCAAACTGGTAGAGAATCTTATTTATAAATTAATCAAATGAATTATTCAACATGTTCATTTTGAAATGTTTTTGATAGCCAGATCCTTTATTGTCTTTCCAATACCACTGTATCTCAAATTTTTTAACTGGTTGTCATACTCCAAAAATTAATGTAATAAATATTTTTTCAGGTATGCAAGTATGCCTTGCATGCTTGTATACAGATGCATTCCACAGATGGTAGATATTTATAGAATTCTTGTTTCAGCACCTTTAGAAACTGACTTGATGCCTATATGCCTTATTCATTTAGATAATAAAATTTAATTAAAGGGTTTGATTTCAAGTCAGTCCTTAAGTTTAGAAGCTCAGTTGTGAAGCAAAAACATTGTCTTTTTTAGGCATTCCCAATTGTGACCACAATACTTAAAGTAGCCACAAAACATTATTTTCAAATAAACAATTGGCAAGTTATGTTTTACTCTATGTAAATTCAGCCATATTGCTCCTGTTCACTGTATTCCCATACAACTACATAATTATCTCTTAGGATGACATGAGAATACAATGACTATAGAATAGAGATCAAGTTTGAAAACAAAAATCGTTAGGGTTATATTTAGAAAGTAAATTTCTCAAGGCCAGGCGTGGTGGCTCATGCCTATAATTCCAGCACTTTGGGAGGCCGAGGCGGGCGAATCACCTGAGGTCAGGAGTTCAACCGGTCTGACCAACACGGAGAAACCCTGTCTCTAGTAAAAATACAAAATTAGTCGGGTATGGGCGCATGCCTGTAATCCCAGCTACGTGGGAGGCTGAGGCAGAAAAATTGCTTGAACCCGGGAGGTAGAGGTTGCGGTGCGTCGAGATTGTGCCATTGCACTCCAGCCTGGGCAACAAGAGTGAAACTCTGTCTCAAAAAAAAAAAAACAAAAAAAAAAAGTAAATTTCTCAAAGAATTTAACAATACTAAGGTAGACAGGGACTCTTTTTCTTTCTATTAAGAAAAATTCATACCAAAAGCAACATCAGAAAGTGATTATCCCTGCAATCCCAGTGCTTTGGGAAGCTGAGGTGGGAGGATCGCTTGAGGCCAGGAGTTCAAGACCAGCCTGAGCAACACAGCGCAACTCTGTCTCTACCAAAAAAAAAAAAAATTACCCAGTCATGATGGTGCATGCCTGTGGTCCCAGCTACTCAGGAGGCTGAGGCAGGAGGATTGCTGGAGCCCAGGAGATCGAGGCTGCAGTGAGCTATGATCGTGCCACTGAGCTCCAGCCTGGGTGAAAGAGCAAGATCCTGCCTCTTTTTAAAAAGAAAGGAGAAAGAAAAAGTGACTGTGACTATTTCACATTGGGTCACATATCTTTGTTGCAAAAGTAAGGGTGTCTGCATCTTAAATATCAAAGTCAAGCTTCTTGGTTTCCCACGGTTAATTCTAAGAATGATGTCCAGAAGAATGCAACACAGGGAAGGCACAACTGCTTACTTCCCTGTAACCTGGGAGGTAGGGAGACGCAAAACAAAGGCAAGCCTTTTCTAGCCTTCAATCCTCTAACCTGCAATCACTTGTCTCTAAAACTTCTTGGTTTGGCTACCCTCCCTATCCATGTTTGTAGGTTCAGTTCTCTAAAGTATGCTCCAACCTTGCAAAGTGAGGCTAACACCAAGGCAGGCTTGAGTCTGCTGTCTGGCCCTTTTTCTCCAAGAATCAACACTGAAACTCAAAGGAAGGGGAGAGGGTTAACATAAAGAAAGTACTTTTCAAACACTAGCAAAGGGCTCTTGACCCTCTTTCTCTTTGGCACAAGTGCACACGCACATGCACATGCATGCACAGATGTCCAAGTCACATGACAGTGTCTTTCTGCCCTTTCAGTAGAGGATGAACATGAAGAATTGTTGAAGGAGAGCAAATGTGCTGGGTGCACCACAATGCAAACAACTTTGATCTGATTCACTCTGCACTGTTTTAGGGACTCTGACAAAAGTATGTCCAAGATTAATAATGGTTGCTGGGGTTGGCAGAAGTTCAAGAATCAGATATTATTCCTTCAATTTATAACAATCATCTCCCCACTTACCCTCAACTCCACCCTCATATGCCCCAATAAATATTTGCAATTTATGATGAAAATATCAAAGAAGGAGTGAACAAAAACATACTAGAAAGAATTGTTTCCTGACAGTTTATGGCCTGGAGATGAGAGAGAGAACAAACAACATAATGAATGCAATCAATCAACTAATCCTTATTATCACCCAATTCTAATATGAAAAATCCCATGAGCACCTGTTTTTCCTAATAAACCATGCTTTAGAATCTTTATCTTCACTCTGGTGAATGTAAGTTTTCTAACTAGAGTGACCCGTGTATCCTGGCCAGTCCACGACAGTCCTGGTTGCTTATTAACAATTAGTGATACTTGGCCAGCGTGGTGGCTCATGCCTGTAATCCCAGAACTTTGGGAGGCCAAGGCAGTCGGATCACCTGAGGTCAGGAGTTCAAGACCAGCCTGGCCAACATGGTGAAACTCAATCTCTACTAAAAATACAAAAATTAGCTGAGTGTGGTGGCACATGCCTGTAATTCCAGCTACCAGGGAGGCTGAGGCAGGAGAATCGTTTGAGTCTGGGAGTTGGAGGTTGCAGTGAGCAGAGATCTCGCCACTGCATTCAAGCCTGGGTGATAGAACAAGAGTCCGGGGAAAAAAAAATTGGTGACACCTGTTGTCATCTGAGCCCGGGAAGTGGAGGTTGCAGTGAGCGGAGATCTCACCACTGCACTCAAGCCTGGGTGACAGAGTGAGACTCTGTGAAAAAAAAAAAAAAAAGTGACACCTGTTGTCTGTGAATAATTTGCTAATAAGCACCTCTTGATTTAGACAGTAAGTGTCCTGTTTGGACAATAAATTATATGGTCACCCTAACTGTAGATAAACTGTGAGAGGCAATCAGGTGTCTATTTTCATGTTTGTAGTGCTGTCCAGTTTTTATGCTGTCCATTCTTCCAGTCCTCAAAACAATCAAATGGCCTCGGCAGAATCTGATGTTGTTGTGCATCCAGGCTTTTTAGCAGAGGCTGACATTTGGCTTTCTCTTTGAGGGCCTAAAGTTGACAGCACTAAGACCAGCCTTGCTAAGATCACTTTGCCCCAGTATATTTATGTTTCTTCCCTGGTATCAACTTATGGAAAGGTAGAGGTGGTAGGGTCTTCAAGAAGTTTTCAGATTTCATTTGGGGGAGGGGAGTGGCAGTGAAGGAGCAGCGGAACCCTTTTCCCCTTGAAATCTTGCTCAGATCCCCACTGTGTGAAGTCAAAGAAAGCAAAGACTCTCTGGTGGAACTGGGAGGTAAAGGCACAATTGCACAGTCTCACCCACAGAAGACTTCTTTCTCCGTTGCTTCTGCTCAAGGAATCCCCTAAAGCTAGATCCTGCTCAGCTCAAGAACAGAGTCTATCGGCCAGGCGTGGTGGCTCTCACTTGTAATCCCAGCACTCTGAGAAGCCAAGACAGGAGGATCACTTGAGGCCAGGAGTTCGAGACCAGCCTGGCCAACATGGTGAAACCCCATCTCTACTACAAATACAAAAAATTAGCCAGGCGTACTGGCACACACCTGTAATCCCAGCTACTAGGGAGGCTGTGGCAGTAGAATTGCTTGAGCCCCGGAGGTGGAGGGTGCAGTGAGCTGAGATCCTGCCACTGCACTCTGGCCTGGGCAGCAGAGCAAGACCTTGTCCCTATCTCCAAAAAAAAAAAAAGAACAGAGTCTATCCAGTTCAATTTGCTGAATTTCCCAATGAGGAAACAGGTTCATTTCATCAGCTCCTGATCACATATTACAATTTCACTTTCTGTATTGGTAATCCTACAAAGTCATGAGTCAACAGCAGTGTGGTCCACACTGATTGTCATAGACACCTATCTTCCAAAGATCTCTGGGTATACCTTCTAACAAGGAAACATATGCTCACAGAGATTAAATGCTTTTCTAGATTATAACTAGTAGGCTCATAGTTACACAAAACCACCAAATGTGGAGCCTGTGTGTGTATGTTTGTTTGTATAGAAAGGAAGTAGAATAAGAGCTAAAAGGGGTATGGCAGTATTAACCCACTTTTAAAATTAAGATTCCTGAGTAAACATATATTCCCCCTTCTAAGAATAGCTACAAAAGAAACCACAATAATAACGATAGGTGAAGATTCTGATCACAGTATTGTTTAGTAACTCTAAAATGTACATGTGTAAGGACAAAGTATGGGACAGAAGAGGTAAGACAGGAACAAAAGGCTGCTATTGAGCCAACAGAATTCTGGTGATTTATTTTTCTACCTTTCCCAAACGTTCTTTTAACATGAAACAAAACAAAACAAAAACAAAAACAGAGAAGACAAAGAGTGCTTACCACGGAGACCTTGCTCACAACATCTCCGGCAACTGCTAAGCCTTGAGCAAAAGTACGGGCTGCTACAAATGCACGAGTAACCTGGAGCTTCAGTTTGCGAGGGACATCTCCGAAGGGCTTCAGCTGCTCCGTATACTTGCTCACACATTCCAGATACTCATCTGTAAAGTGGTACTGGGAGTTCACCAGGCGGAACATCCGCTCCAGGAGGCGAGCCCAGAAGTCATTTAGCATTTCTTCCAGGTTCACATTTCCCACCACGTAGTAACGCTTCAATTCTACGAAGAGATCTTTAAATAGCTCAGAATTTTGCATGTATAAATGGCCATATGTCTTCACAAACATATCATTCAGGGATTTCTCTGCATTTTCAAGTAGTTCTTTGAAGAATTCTAAAACCAACACCAAAAAAAAAAAAAAAAAAAAGAAAAAGAAAAAGAAAAAAAAAGGAAAAACGAAAGAGTTTTCAGTATTTAAATAACTGCTTTTCCAGTAAATTTGAAAACGAAAAAAAAAACCCACAATTAAATTGGAAAACATGTTTGTATATAGGGTGAATTTCCTTTGGGGAATGTGGCATCTCAGATCCTTTGCCAATGACAGGAAACCTATGTCACAAAGTCACTTACATAGGTGTCTGAGAGAGGAAAAAAATGAAAATTTAAACTAGCAATTTCTCAGGAGTCAGTACAATACACACATTCTCTCATTCTCTCTCTCACTTTCTGTCATAGGTGGATAAAGAAAAACTGGAAAAAAATGGGCACATGAAGTCTAAAACATGAGATTTCCCTCAACTTTTTACTTAAGAATCTAAGCCAAAGTTAACCATGCCTTCTAATTGTAACCTAAGAGCAGGACAGGTGTCTTCAAAAAGTTGTTATTTTACTTGGGCCTGAATTTTTTTTCATTTCTCCTTTTTACTTATCTATATGATCATGCACTATAGCTGCCTGGAAAATGCTTGAGGCCAAAAAACATCATCAAACACCCCTACAAGCAAGCACATAAGTTTTCTGAAAATAAGTTCCTGGGTGTTTCTCTGTGACAGTAGTACAAATTGGGAGTATCCAGCTTGATCCTGGGTTTCTAAAGGATTTATACAATAACATCATGAGACTCTTTTCAATGTTCCTTCTGATTGTGTGTGTGTGTGTCTGTGTGTGTGTGTGAGAGAGAGAGAGAGAGAGAGAGAGCATGCATAATGGACTTAATAATAAATATAGTATATTTATGAGACAACATGAAAAAACTGAAAAATGTAAATGAGAATACCTGGTTATTTCAGATTTACTTTTTGGCCACCATACAGCCACAGACTAAGTGTTAGATATTTTAATCTCTTAACTACAAATGGCAAACTAGTTTTCTCCTGAAGCTTTCCTCAGAAACTTCAATGAAAAAACAAGCCAACAGTGTATCTGTAACATTAATCATTCTTAAAGAATCTCTTGCCTGGTATAAAAATAAACACCTCATGATATCAAGTTTATAAGCAGGAAATATAACAAATACCAAAGCAAAATATAAGGACCACATCAAATAAGAAACTGCCTCTGAGTAAATATGGAACAGAAAAGAAAATATGACACCTACTTCAAAGCCAGAACATTGGTGAGCTTATCAAAATGCAATAGTCCTACAAAGCCATTCTCTTCTCACGTTGGGTGGACAACTCAGAGACTGGCCACTAATTCCAAATAGCTTTTCAAAATCTGGATGGAGGAAACTGAATACTTTTGCAGGGAGATGTATGTGTGTGACTTTCCTGACATGCCAAGAGATTCTATACTTATGTCTCTCAGCCCCTAACTCATCACTTAGTGGTTCCTTGAGGCCTAAGGATAAAGTCCACAGTCCTCCCTGGTTCCAGCTTTTCAAACATTGTAGGTATGATTTGTGTGTGTGTGTGTTTTTTTTTCTTTGCTTCTCTCCTTTTCATCTGGTTCTTTTCCCTACTATTGCTTGCCTTTTGTTTACTGGGCTTTCTTCAGAGAAACAAAGGGAAACAGACTTCCTCTGCATAGTAAACAAACAGACAGGTCAACTCATCCCCATTACAAGTGTGCAGCCTGACATTTTAACCAAAGCTCTCTCCCTGAAAGTGAGAGGGCAGAAACTGCACAAAGAGTTAGGAGAACAATAAAAGAAGCATACCAATCAGCTACCTGGGATGGCCTTTTATTCTCTCCAAAATCCCCTGAGTGGTTCTCAAAGTGTGGGCCTGGGACCAGCAGGATCAGCATCACCTGGGCACTTGCTATAAATGCAAATTCTCGGCCCCACCCCAGACTTACCGAATCAGAAACCCTGGAGGGTCCCTTTTGCTGTGCATCATTCCATTTCTACTAAGGGCACTCTCAGCAGCAGCTAGGCAACTGGCTTGTCCAGGCCAAATGGTTTGGTGGACAGGCCAAAATTTTCAGCTATCTGTGATTCCGATATACCCTAAAGTTGGAGGACAACTGCTCTAGCTGCTGAAACTTCTCCCATTTCACCTATCAGTTGCAAGCACCAACAACTCAGGGGCTGTGTTGAGTGTGAAGCTGTCAGGGTAAGCATTAATGTTTTAATTAAGAGAAAATGTCTTTCCAATGAATTGTGTTTTTTAATAAATTTGTTGCATTCCTAGGAATGACTTTTTTATTGTCTTGGGGACAAATTTTCTTGTGTGGAACTCTCTCAACTAAGTGTTAACATAGATGATTAAATGTACGCAGTACTTTTCTAGAGTTCAAAGTTAAGAAGGGACCTTAAATACCATCTGGTCCATGTCCCACACCATGCTTGAATTTTGCTACCAGCCTTGCCAAGTGGTGATTGCTCATGGAGGGCATTAAAGGCACATGTAGGTTGCGTTATTACATGACCAGTGTGTTGCACACATAGCTATTATATAGTGGAAAAATAAAGCCTTGTCATCATTGAGAATAATATGCAAGCCTTGTGTCAATCCAGTGCTATTAATATTTCATGACCAAAAAAAGTGGATTCCAACAGCAACCACAGGTCCTTCCTTATATTGAATTTTTATTATATGGCTCATAAAATTGGCACATATCAGCAGAGACTGGACATTCAGAATTATTTGACTTGTGCTTTCAGACTCATTTAGTAAGTAATTCCCAAAACTCACTTGTATTTTTAAGGAATGTCACCTGGAGTCATGTTGGTTTCTAGGGGTGGGGTGCAGTGTGACATTTCAAGCTTAGTTTTAATTTAAAACTTCTAATAAATGTCAAAGTTTAGCCTTTTGACAAAGTGCCGCAAGTCAAACAAACACTAAATCACTGAACACTTTATGGAAAAAGTAAAATGTTTTCTATCTTGGAGTTCCTCATTCAGGTCAAGAGCTTGTGGGTGGATGTAGCCATATATAACATAGCTACTTTGGAGTATAAGAGAAATGGCCTAATGAACAGGAGACCGATTTGAAACTGACATGCCCCTGTCCAACACCCACCATGGACCATACTTTGGTTTGCATGACTCACATTCTGTCTAGGAAAGTTTCAGAGTGTGTGTGTGTGTGTTTATGCTAGTGTGTACTTTAAGAGCCTAGCTTGGTGCTATATACATACTAAATCCTAATTCATTTCATCACTCAGAAAATTTATTTTCTTTCCTTCACATTTTAAAAGACTCTTTAATGTGGCTACATAAGTTGCAAATATAAAGAGCATTTGAGTGAGCATGTGGTTAATAAATGCTTGAGAAATTCTATAAAACTGATATAACGAGTTAAAACGTCACAATTTCTCCAAATGGGTATGCAATTTGACAAGTATGTACTGAGTGGCTCTTATGGGCTCAAATCAAAGCACATGGTGTTTTACCATGCATCTTAACTTTCTCTCTGCCCAATCAGACCATAATGAAAATTTCTGGTAAGACAAATTTCCCCCAACCAATTCACCTTTACCATACACTGCCACTCTCCACATACGGTTTTATGAGAACACCAGAGATTTTTTTTAAACGTCTATAAAATTGTTAATCTCGCACTACATACAAAAAGTTCCTAAATATTCATATATTTAATCTATGAGAGTCAACCAGACAAAAATCAGGGGATCCAGAAGACCCAGACTCATTTCTTTTTAGACGGATTCTTACTAGCCCTGTTACATGGGACTATTCTACCTATGCCTTTTGCCTCAAAGGGACCTCATAAGGATGGCAGACATCTTTTAAATTCTAAAATCCATAGCAATTAGGGACAATATCAACCAAAGCATAATAATTTGCTATTAGAAAGAAGGGGAAAAAATCCTTTTGCATCTGTTCCTTTTATTAAACTAGCAGCTCGCATGTTCTTGCATAATTCTTTCACAGCCCCAATCCTCCTTTCTATTCCCATGACATTTACCTTTACAATGAAGAAAGAAGCATAAATTAGCCATTCAGATCCCGGTCCACAGCCATCAATAGCAACTTCAGTAATCACTGCAATGTTCATCTCCATTTTTTTTTTTCAATTATTCTCAGAACTCAGAATCAGGGTCAGATCTTAACTGCTGAAGAAGAGCTGTACAGGCCCTAGACACCTAGCAATCATTGCTCATAATCATTATGCCTGAAACTAATTACAATACACTTGGTGACTAAGAGAGAACCAGCCAAGAGCAATGTAAACCAGGATTCCACAACGATCAAAAGCCAAGCAAATTGGAAGTTAGATCTGTGCAGCAATTGCTTGTATTCATGTAAAAATGTTGCTCAGGGAATCTGTTTTAAGTAAAGCTACTGGTGTCTGAAAGAAAGTTTGAGAGGTGGTGGTTTGCAAGGATTTGAAATATAGCGTCTGTGATCAGGGTTTATTTCCCCTTCAATTTTCAGTTTGAAGGCTTAAGTATATACATTCTAAAGATAAAGCAGCTGCTACTCCTTGAACTCATGAATGGCCACTCAACACAGGGATGGAAATAAACACTGTAACACGCTATGAATCTAAAGCAGGAGGGCACAGTGGGAAAAAACAGGAGATCTCTCACTCAGGGACTCTATGACCCTGCTCGGGGAAAAGGACTAATCTCTCTGAGCCTCTTTTATCCCATCCATAAAATGGGGCTATTATCACTCACCTCATATGGATAATGCTTGGCATAAAGTAGATGCTCAACAAATAAACGTTATTACTAATATGTGAGATAACAGTGTTGTCACTCTTAGAGTTTCTTTGTATCTACAATCATTTAAAAAAATCTTTAAAGACTGGTTTTTATTTTTCCTAGTGGAGTCAAACATTATCTATCTGAGGGTACATAAATGAAGCCAAAGCTGCTGGAGGTCTTCTAAGAAGACCCAAGGCCTTATAAAATTGGGAACTGTTTATCCTAAGGGAAATGCTTAATGGTTCTACCTTCAAAGGTTGTGAAATGTCCCAGATATC